CTCCTATAAGCACCTACCATTGATATGTCTGCATACCTTACAAACTCGTTTATATATACCCTCCTATAAGCACCTACCATTGGTATGTCTGCATACCAAATTTCAAGTTTGTGTGACTTATGGTTCCGAAGTTATAGCTGATAAAAAATTCCACGCCTATGGGATGTGCCACGCCCACTTTTACAAACTCGTTTATATATAATCTCCTATAAGCACCTACCCTTGCATACCAAATTTCATTTGCATACCAAATTTCAAGTTCGTGGGACTTATGGTTCCGTCGATATAGCTGATAAAAAATGCCACGCCTATGGGAAGGGCCACGCCCCCTTTTACAAACTCGTTTATATATACCCTCCTATAAACACCTACCATTGGTATGTCTGCATACCNTACCAAATTTCATTTGCATACCAAATTTCAAGTTCGTGGGACTTATGGTTCCGTCGATATAGCTGATAAAAAATGCCACGCCTATGGGAAGGGCCACGCCCCCTTTTACAAACTCGTTTATATATACCCTCCTATAAACTCCTACCATTGGTATGTCTGCATACCAAATTTCAAGTTCGCGTGACTTATGGTTCGGAAGTTATAGCTGATAAAAAATTCCACGGCTATGGGATGTGCTACGCCCCCGTTTGCAAACTCATTTATATAGACCTTATTATAAGCACCTACCAAATATGTATATATGTAACTGCATACCAAATTTAAAGTTGATGCGACATATGGTTCCGAAGTTATAGCTGATAAACATTTCAACGAATATGGGATATGCCACCCCCCTTTCACAAACTCGTTTATATATACCCTCCTATAAACACCTACCATTGGTATGACTGCATACCAAATTTCAAGAATAACTCGGATATTTAAAACTGTGTTTTTTTTTTGAAACCTTAGCGTCTTTAGATTATTTTGAAATGGAAAGATTAAATCGTTTTTTAATCTCGCGATGCTGTTAAACGAAAAAGGTTCGTTCATAATGAATAAAACTCCTTCCGAATTAAGCATTCCACTAGAAAAGTGCAGCTAAATAAAACAGCTAATCGAATAACCAGCTAAACAGAATGTACCGAAGTAGAATAGTTTTAATTTAGAAATTTGGTCGTTGCCTTAATCCATCTAATATTAATAATGGAACAAAATTTGTAGTAGAAGTGATGATCAATATATATTAGTTATAGCACGATAGAGCCAAAAGTATGGCTCCTAAGGATGCCTTAATGTAAACAAAGAAAATAGTTTGTCTCCTTTAAATTATGCTGAACCGAATATTCGTATTACTGTTTTATATTTTGATTTGTTTACCCCGAACGTCGGGTGCTCTGCTAGTAATTTCATAAAATTAAGATATTTTAGAATTTTTGTTATTTTCTAAACCAGCGGGAATATTCAAACTTCCTGTGACTTTCAACTATGTAAATTAGTACAAATTCGAAAATACAACAAAAATGTAAAAATTGAAAATTAAGTTAAGTAATTTGAAAATTTCGAAATTAAGTGGATTCGAGGATTGATAGGTATTTTTCACCAGTGTGTTATAATTATGATACAAATATCATTTTTCAGAAAAATAACGTAATTGATCAATCAATTATGCAGACGCAGATACGGTCAATAATTGCGCAATTTTATAAATGCTCACGATGTTGCAGGAAAAACGCACTTACAGGGCGGCTTAATTCTTTTTTTTCAACAAAAATGTATTTTATCGTTTATTATTATAGAGATCAGGGGCCAAGCAAAGATTACCACAAACTCATGAAACAGAACGAAGAAAAAAAACTACCATATATTCTTTCAGTTTTCCTAAAAATTACACTGTACAGCGCCCGGCTGTTGGCAAAAAAGTTTGTTATTAAAATTGTTTGCTGAATTTTTCTAATATCTCTACAAAGTTTGAAATTTGGACTTATATTTTTTTGTTAGATTTTTTTTAATAAAAAATAATAAACAGTAAACAAACAATGGAAGAGTCGAAACTGGTCAAAATATCGTGTCCCTATAAATTTGTACATGACGTATGTGTGTACATATGTACTTTGAAAATAAAATAGACTTTTATGGATCTAAGATCTTATTATGCATCTCTTATTTTATAAAATCGCTTGTTTAAAGTTAATATTACTAATGTGCTCAAATTCAGAGTGTGCTTTAAGCTCTTTCTTTGATTAACAAACTTCTCCGCATTCTGGTCACACTTCTAGCTAATAACGCTACTTCCGAAAGAAGTTTTTCAGCCCTTCGTCGGTTAAAAACATGGTTGCGTAGTACCATGAATGAATAAAGACTGATAGGTCTAGCACGTTTACACTAACAGTTAGATGTTGAAATTGAACACTGAAAGGATAATAGAAGATTCGCAAAAGGAAAGCGTAACATTGAATTTGCAATTTAAATTATTACAATAACAATTCTCAATAAGTTGTTAAGTTACTTAATTACGTCCTTAATTTTACCAACATTGTAAGCAAGAAATAAGTATTTATATGTATATATTGCATTAATAAACCCAAGTATAACTTTACATCTTGTGTTTTTTTTTAATAGTACATGCAATTGCTTTATTAGACCTTGCACCAAATTCACAAAATGAAAAGTAATTATATCACAAAATACTTTACTTCACACTTCATAAAAAATACTCGAACCTTTATTTGGCCGAAAAATAAATTAGGGTGAGATGCCTGTAATTTAACGTTATTTGACAAGTTGATCCCAATCGAAACCTGTGATAAGTTTTTCCAACCCAAAATTTTAATAAAATGGTATGATTTCAAAGGAGTTGTGGCGGGGTCAAAACTTAGGTTCAATTCTTCGCACGGATAATCTTATACTGAACATAAACACAATTAAAAAACATCTCCATAAAAATTGGAAAGTTGATTCTTTAAGCGACACTCTAATGTATTTGTGTGTAAATGCACCTCAACAACAACATAACAACATTCCTAATATAAACAATTGGCGCATTGCAATTGCTTCAATTATGCACTACGCGGCTATTTGATTGAGCAATCAGAGCTCTAGCAAAATAATTCAGCCACACACCCTCTCAGCCTCTCTCAAGTGCTGCCCTACAGATGAATGCGCGCTCACAACAATCAATTGTAATGAACTTTAAAATAATTAAAGTGCCCAAGCAATCGATAATTTGTAGTCAAAAGCACTTACAGTTCAATGCAGCGGTCTACGTTGACCGTGGCCTTGAAGCCCAGAATGGCGAAGATCACGACGCTGGCATATATAGCGGTGATTGCATTGCAAACAGACACCAAAAGGACATCACGAACGCAGTTATTTTTGGGCGTATTATAACTTCCAAATGCTATTAGGGATCCAAAAGCCAAACCAAATGAGTAGAAAACTTGTGTGGCAGCGTCTAGCCACACAGTCGGATCGGCGAGTTTCTCAACTTTTGGTGTATACATATGCATTAGTCCAGCACTAGCACCTCTCAGCGTGATTCCGCGAATGAAAAAAATTGTCAATACAATGTAGGGGAAAAGCGATGTGAAGTATACCACCCTACCGGAACTTTGAATGCCTTTCATAACAATAAAGAATACGATTGTCCAAGAAAGGAACAAACACAGCACAATCCACCACTTAAGACCACCTGGTTCATCCATAGAAGGAGCAGCATCCAATGTAGTTCGATACCAAAAGTAGGCAGTTTCTGAAGAACGTGCGCATTCCTCCACTTCAACGGTGCCGTTAGTGGGGCAGGAAGCCCACGGCAAAGGATACTGAAATCATATAAAAATTGGAGATGTATAAATTTATTTCCTTTTTTAAAATAATCGCATTGAATGCATTAACTTACTCGGAAACTGTTAAACAGGTAAAAGAACACCCACGTTATAATCACGTTATAATACAAGGCGACAAACAATGTAACAATACATGACGATATACCAATACCACCTAGCCAAGGGTGTATTGTGTTCCACACACCAAGTGCACCCAGCCGCATTCGCTG